TTTTCGAGGAAGTTACTAGCTCGAAAATTTGAAAAGCTAGAAGGCCGTAATTTTAAGACGATATTCCCCGTTCGCCTAAATCTCATTGAGCTCAGACGCAGCTCCCCGGGTATGCATGGTACTCACGTACGGGCCCGCAAACTTTTTTTCGGGTAGATTGATAGCTCGGGAACCTGAGAAGCTAGAATCCTGGAATTTTAAGGGAATGCTTCTCATTCACGTAGGTATTATTGAGCTCAAACCTACCCCCCGGGTATGTCATTCTCACGTAGGGGTCCGCGAAAGATTTTTTCGTGTAATTTGCTAACTCGAAAACCTGGAAAACAAGAAGACTGGAATTTTGAAGGGATGTTTCCTGACAGTCCTGGCGGCCAGTGTGAAATTCTTTTAGCTAGAAGCATCTGCCGGAAAACACAGTGTCGTTAGCGACAAAAATCTGCGGGGAGCTATGCAAAAAACGCAATTTCGTACGGGCAGCCCATGCGTTGGCCAGTTATGTGATATTTGGTTGCAGTAAGATACAAAAGGAAATGGCCTTACCATATGTCAAAGGGGCAAAATGAAGTAAAATTTCCTGGACTGGACACATAGCTCATTTTTTTTTTCTTTTTTGGCAGCCATTGCTTATTTTCATATGTTGCTTGTTGGCAACCACGCGTCTTTCATATTTATTTGTCACTCGTAACCACATGGGTAAGGGAGCAGCGCCAGCAGCAAGTGTAAACAGATTGAGCAGGACAAAAGGGCATTCTGCGCAGTAATTTCAAAGCACCAGGGGTTTTTTTTCTTGCGTTTCGTCCATTGCTTCATTAAATCGTCCTTCAAATCACTGAAATTTGAAGCTAAGCGACATAAAACGCAATCAGGACTGGGAAACTGTAGACCATTTACCGCAAATGAGTGGGATATGATTGTTGCTTGAAAAAGAGGTGTTTTTTGCAGGTAGGACCGGAAAAAATTCGAGGGAGGGCGATAACTCAAAGTTAGAAAGAATCCTGTCGAAAGACACCGACCAGCGACGACTACAAGTCAGACGAGCCATCGCCGATAAGCTGCTTGCAAGGTTTTTCGCGCTTTACTCGAATTTTTCAGGTCTTTTAAATAATTCGACAAATGCTGGCATTATGTGGGGTGTGAAAATCAAAAGTTAAAACCCTTTCCGAGTTCACGCTTATTCTTAGGCAAAAACATATGGAAATGTCATGAACAGACACTCGTCGGCAAGGCTGTTAATGGTTTTCTCCTCTGAGGGTTGATTAAAAGCAGGCTGTTAGCGGTTTTTGTTCTCTAGCATATGCCAGTACCAATTTACCATCAAAACGAATGAACGGTTGGTACTTAGATTAGTTACATCCCCTCATTTCTTCGGAAAAAGCAAGAAAGAGAGCAGTGGAACGGGCGTATCAATAAAACAGCCGCCCAATAAGGCAAATTTTGCTCAAAGCAATCGTCTGTAGATAATCGGATGCGCTAGCGAGAAAGTTGATTGAAGTATCTCCTGTGAACTTGCCTTCTGCTTTTTCTGTGTTTTATATAAATGTTTTGGAAATTTTTGAAAAATTTTGAGAAATGTAAACTATGGATGTTTGTTTGGCGCTGTAGGCCAGCCAAAGAAAA